GGGGCAGTCACCCCCAAACTGGAGCAGTGGCTCAAACAGATCCCAGGAACAACATCAGACATCTCAGTCCAGAAATGTGCAGTTCTAGGCACAGCCAAGATACTGCGCAGAACCCTCAAGCTCCCAGGCCTCTGGTAGAGGACCCGAGCTCAGAGGATGAAAGAGACCACCCATGGAGGGTGAGAGGGGAATTTTTATATATATATATATATTTGTCTTTAAAATATGACTTAAAAGAAATTTGACTTCATAATTTAACTGCTTGAAATTGGGCCTCTGTCTCTTTAAAAACTCAGAAAATAATTACCAGCGTTTTACCAGCGTTTGGCTCTTTTAGATACGGTCCATGAATGAAATTTGTAAAATTTTTTGAAGCTCAAATAGAAATTTGATTCTATAGACCAAAATAGACTGTCATGCTGCTTAGTGTTTATTAAACCTGGTTAGTCCATTGGCCAGACTGTTCTTTTGTCCATTTCAGGGTCTCAAAGTCTATTTATGTCTCTAGTTAATATTTTGGTATGATAGCCCTTCCAAAATGGTAGCTGAGTCATAGTTATCAGCTCATGAAGTTAACAATCCCTTTGGACAAATTCTGTTTTTCGAGACTGGTGCATGTCCGGTTTAGGCTCATGGTATGGGCATTGTCAAAGGCCTATAATATACACTGCTCAAAAAAATAAAAGGAACACTCAAATAACACATCCTAGATCTGAATGAATGAAATATTCTCATTTAATACTTTGTTCTGTACAAAGTCGAATGTGCTGACAACAAAATCACACAAAAATCATCAATGGAAATCAAATTTATTAACCAATGGAGGCCTGGATTTGGAGCCACACACAAAATTAAAGTGAAATGTTCCCTTTATTTTTTTGTGCAGTATAGTTTTTGGTATCCTCTTAAAGAGGACACGCTTGGCTGTCATTTAAAGGAGGCTTTGAGTCTCTCTAGTGACCAACACAGGGGTCACTAGAGCTCATTAAACCAAAAATAATGCACATTTTTCTACACCTTTTCACCAAACTAGATAAATTTCTTTTATCCTTGTGGTATCCAGGGAGATTGGCGGCTCAAGAATTAAGAGTCAGTTGGTAATTGATTCATTTATTTAATTCAAATTCAGATTTACATTAGTAATTCCAAAGGGAAATAAGCTACAGTAAATTTAATATCGTGCACATATTTATGGTTTATTTTTTTTACTCATCCATCCAAACAAACTATTTTTTGTGCGTAAGAAGGGAGAACTTTAACTTGAACCGAGGCAAACCTGTCCGACTCTGTGGAGAGGGTTTCAATCTTTTTCTAGTTATTTCCTAGCGACAGTATTGTGTTTTTCCAGTTCCTCATCTTCTAGAAATGTCTGACTTATTCATGGAGTTGTTTTTATACTTGACTTTATTTCTAGTGGTTTTTTTTTTCTTTTTTTTAATTATTTTTAATGGCTTTCTGTTTGTAAAGCTCGTAAAATTGATTGACTAAACGAATGAGAATTTGTGGATTCTTTTTTTCACCCACTGCTTACTTGCCATCCTGTCTGGTATTTCCTCAGACCAGGAAATACCAGATAGAATTTGAGGTTTTCTTTGCCAAATCTCTCTGGACTTTTGAGTTTTTGCGTTACTTTCTCCACAACGTTTATGTTTGGACGTGTTTTTCCATAATTAAAGACTCTTAGGAACTGCCTGCCCAGACTTTTTCCAAGTACACACAGTGAAACGTGTTTTGGGATAAAAGCTGGAATGCGAGCCTTAACTTAATTAATACCGTTGTCACTGAAAGGCATTTCCGAGGAACCTGGAATATCAAAGGGAGAAAAAAAAAAAAAAACTTTGAAAATGATGAACGACCTTTTGAGGTGACTTCATTTCATTCCTGACATGTTCGTGTCAGGAAGTGGATCATCAGATGCTGCTTTTTCCCTCAGGCTGAATAATCATGCGATTAGCTTTAGCGTAAATCAACCTGAGTACAGTTAACTGCCTTCAGGTCTCATGAGCATTGCTCAACACATTTATTTGTTTCTCTTGTATCCATGGGAACATAATGCCAAGTTGGGGGGAGGGGGAATAAACAAACAAAACAAAAGCTTTTGTATTGCATCCTGAAACCTGTGTGAGGATTTTGACCTCAGACTCAGACCCTGCAGCGTAGAGGGCACCGCAGCTGGAAGTCATTTTTCAGTGGCTCCAGATTTGCTTGAAGCAGCTTCGTGTCTGTGTGCTGCCCAGCAGAAGAAAAAAAAAAAAAAAAAAAACAGTTACCAACTTTCCTGCATGAATCATTATACAATTAGATTTGCTATGACTCAATATCACAAGTAAAAGAGAACAAAAAAGCCACTGTTACGTCCTTGCTTTCTTAAAGGGGCAGGCGTTAGCTCCAGCCATCTGTGTGATGAAAGAGCGAATAACGACAACAAGCTATTGCACAATGGATTATATTAAATTTTATTTGTCCTTTTATGTGATAATGTACATAAAAGGAAGCAAGAAAGAAAAACTATTTTTTACAAAGAAAAAAAACAATAACATATCACCTTCAGAACTTAAAAGCTCACTTTTTAAGAAACAAATGGGTGCAGAGATACTATCAAATCCCGTGAAAAGACAGCAGGTGAGATAAAGGTGGCAGACGTTTAAAGCGAGCTTTTTGCATCTTGATGAGACAGAACTCCAGCCCCGATACCGGCCCGGTTTTACCCCGTCCGGTCCACCCAGAGCAGAGGGTGAAAACAGAGCCAAGGCTACACCAACAAGTCCATGTGATGCATCCAGACGAGCACTTTCTGCCTCACATTGTCTTAATTCCAATGCATTAACCTGTGGAAGCAGCGCAGGGTTTCACACCAGCTCAATACAGCACATTCCAAGGTCAAATTCCAGTGCCGAAAAAAAGAAAGAAAAGGCAAAAACGCTGCAAAAACTCAAAATATTAACAAGTGTTTTGGGTCTAGTTTTCACTGCAATTGTACACTTGAGACAAAACTAACTTACAAGCAACTTTTCAGCAAAATATCAGAGATGGTTTAAAGTAAATGACTCTGTAATGTTGATGAAAAATTGGCAGATTATTTCACTTATAAGACATTTTTCTCATGCCAGTGGATCAAGTACTTATTCATCAATATTAAGGATCTATTATATATTGCTGAAAAGTTACTTGTGTAGTTTCTTATTTTTTATGACAGCACTTTTGAGCCACTGTAGATAAATGACAAAAAAAGAGAGTAAATTTCCTTCAAAAAACCTGACTTTTGGAAACTTTTGGAATTTGAAAAGTTGGAAATGTTTGACTTTTCAAACTCATAAAAAATGTTTTTTTTTTCTTTCTCAGAAACCTTCTGAGATTTATCTCAAACTTTTTCTAGACTCAGAAATTGATGTTCTGGTGAAAATTTACTCATTTTCTTTTTGCTACAATAACCCTAATATGCCATGGTATATTTCAAGAGTACTAAGATATTAATAAGATTTTTTGTGTTTTTGCAGTGAAGGGGATCTTAATACTTTCCCAGAGATTAGTGCACTGGAATATAAGGCTATTGTTTTTTTTTTTGTGCTTTTATTTATTTATTTTTTTACATAACCACACATATGGCACATGTAGCAAATTAAAACAATTTAACATAACACTTAAAAAACCCTCAAAGCTCTTCATGTTCAAAAGCACTCTGGATTTGTAAATAGTGTGAACAATAAAGGGTAGAAATTTCTCTAAAAACATGTGAAAGAAAAAAACAAAAGGCACATAATCAGAATATCCTGTCGCACACACATATCTGTGGCTATGAAGGCACTGGTGGTGAAATCTGTGGTGCAGAGAGGGGATGTGGTGTAGGACAAGGTGGTGGTTTGGTGGTATTTGGGGATGGGGGGGGGGGTTGAGGGTGCTTACAGGAGACGGCTTTCTGCACGTTGAGGCAGCATGGTGGGCGTGGCGGACGGCGAGGAAACACAGGTGAGTGCAAGCAAGACGGGCGGGTTCAGAGTATCAGACTGCTGAAGAGAAGGAGGAGGGATGGTTGGTGAATGAGGATGTTTTTTGGGGGGGGTTTAGGGGGTTATGGAAAGGCAGCAGGTTGTTGTTGTGCCACTCTGAGCGAGCGGGAGTAGCGCGTTTGCTGAGTCAGACAGAATCCAGCAGTGCTTGCCCTTTGTCTCCGATTTGACCCCAGCGACCCCCCCTTAGCCCTAGTTTTGAGTCTGACCATCCCGCTCCGGACTACCGGGGCCCCAAAAACAGAAAACATGAACAACAGCAGCAGACCCTGACCTCCTCATCTTAACATGGATTACACATGGAACGACTCTAATGAGAGGATACGATGCTTTGTCGACTGTTTGCTTGAAAAAAGAAACAGCACTTAAAAAAAATAACACACACATACATACACACACACACACACACACATACACACGCACACAAAACCTAAACCTCAAGAAAAACCCAGAAGAATTAACCTTTGAATTTTTTGGGTGCCCACCTGGTTGGCTAAGCCGCCATGGAGAGAAAAAACAGAGAAGTCAGAAAGGCCGGGCCAGGTGTTGGGTGACCTCGCCTCTTCCCCTCCAAACATCCCTCAACCTCTTATTTTCCAGAGGTCTACTTTTTTTTCCCATTCCCTAACTTTTCTCTCCATCTCACTTTTTCCTCCCTCCTGTGATTTGCAATGAATCCTCCTTTTTCCTCGTGTTTCTCGTGCATTTACACCTCCTTTGTCGTGCGGAGCCGGATGTTGCTGAAGCACTTGCCCATGGCCTCAAACAGCGGGTCGCAGAAGGTGTGGACAAAGATGGAGTAGACGCGGCTGATGCAGTGGGTCTCGATAAGGTAGCTCTTTACGCACGGCACCACGGCCCAGATGTGGACAAAGGAAAGGATGGCGAAGAAGATTCCCCAGATCAGCGCCAGGGGAATGCCGACCAGCGCTGTCAGCAACCGGTAGCACCAGTACTTGGTGACGGTGAAGGTGGTGAAGCTAGCTTTCCACACGCCGTCAAAGCTGTAGGTTCCCGCAGGCTCCGCGATGATGTCCTCGAAGTCCACCTGAAGACAAGGAGAGCAGAAAGACGTTGGCAAACACTGGATTGATTTATTAAAGGTTCTGACAGGTACTCAGGTACTGAAGCTAGAATCTGTGTGAGGTCTTTTTGCTGGTCAGAACAAACTATTCAAATATGCTCGATATGAGAATGCTTACCAGACACTAGCCAAACTGCATTTAGTTAAATTTAACAAGGCATAATAGGTCAAAATGAAGGTAGTGAAGGTAATGGTGATTAAAAAAAAGTTACATCACAATATTTGACCTCGTTTTGTTGTGACTTCCAAATCGCAGAAAAAAGCTGACTTGGTGCACAATTCTTAGTAGTTAGCATAAATGTTAATAAGTGTCGTTTTAGTCACAAAGTTACATTTGTTCCTGTAGAAAATTATATGTTTTTACCCATTCAAACCAAACCTTAAAAGAATTATAGCTGTAAGCTATTGTGCTGGCAGGAATGAATGACATGGTGGGAATGTTTAAGTTCTGAGAGGCTAATTCCAGAAACTCCAAACAGAAACAAAAAATTAAAAGCTGTTTTTGAGGGGAGAGTGTACCCAGTAGAATAATCACCTACTGGAGTACAAACGGCAGATAAAATCTTACTGATAACGGTAATAGTAATAGTAATCTGGATGAACTGTTTCCATGGAAACCATGCAATCTTATTGAAGTGATCATTATATCAGCGTCTTAATTACGTTTTATGCAATAATCTAACCTGCTTGTCCAAAAAGTAGGATGTTTGTAAAAAGTTACACTGCAGTTAGTTGGCACTGCAGTTGGTTCAGAGAAGGTGAAACCGATTCAATTAGGGTGTGATGCGGTGCTAACATTCCTGCTAATTGCTAATTTCCACATATTGAGCTGGTTTGTCTGCTTTCCTCCATCTTGAAACAGAAATAACTCCACAGGAGAGACAACCCCACGTCTTGCTACAGCCTGAGAAGAAGGTAGCAGCCTGCTTGCTAAGGCGCTATGAAAGAAACTGTTAGCTTGGTGACCAGCTTGGTGACCAGGTTTCTTTTCTTAAGGACTAGCTTGTCAAAGAATGTTTGCATCTGTTCCTCATTGTTTTACTCCCATTGAAAGAAAAATAATTACACATATTTATATGGTAGAAATATGTTGTTTGCTAATCTACTAGTTACAAATTTACCGAGTTATCAGTGAAGGACACTGAAAATAAGTATTTATGTAAATTTACGTGGGTTAAAATGACTTTTAGCTAGATGTCGCTATCAAAATCTGTCCCCAAATGGATCCAAGTCATTCAAGACTGAACATCTGCTGATAAAGAGTCCCAGTGTCATGCCACATTAAAGTTACAATAAGTGTTTTGATATGACTCATTGATAACTTGACTTGTTACACATTTCATTGAAGTTCCAATTAGATTTTTGGAAAGAGACGACATACAAACAACAGGAATGAGAAGTTGAGGATTTTTTCCCCCTTACATTTGTAATATTTAGAAATAGAAATTAATCTAACCAAGATAACCAGGCTGTGAGAAGAATGTATGTAAATATCCCTACTTCTGGAATAACAATATGTGGTCATATAAAATGAAAACTTTAAAATTAAATTCAGAAGCAGACTGAACACGACATCTGTCACGTTATAAGGATTTTAATTTTAAGCTTTTATATTATAACATAAGCTGTAAAAAACAAAACATTTACCAGGAATGTATGTTGGTTTTAAATCTGAGCCCTTTCCATACATTTGTGTGAATTGGCCCTTCACATCCCGATCCTCAAACCCTTAGAAGCAGCACAGCCAGCTGCTGTAATCGTTATCACTTGTCAATCCTCTTCTGCCATTGAGTAATAGGTTTCACAAGAGCAGCGATATGGAGCAAATAAAACCACCAGACAGGCTTGATAGACTGAACTCATTATTCCAGCATAAATCAGGTGCCTCGGTTCTTGTGAAAGTGTCAGTTCTGCTGAATTGCAGGGTGGGATTCCTGACGAGATTTATATCTCTCTGTGCTGTGGCTGGTATGCAGTCCAACATCTGCCCAACCCAAAATACTCGTTTCTGCACACACACACACACACACACACACACACACACACACGCAAACACAACTCACAGTCTCTGGCATCTGCTCTGTTGTCTCCAGATCAGCTTCAGGTTATGTCTCCAAAGACTCCTGAGCAGTAATTGACTGGACAAACAGCAGAGAGAAGGAGACATTCCAGCTGTGTCAGTGTGACACCGATCCTTTTATCACCTGCCATGAATGAGAAGCAGAGGAACAGCTTTCTGCTGACTGCCTCGGCCTTAAAACAGGAGGCCCCCTGCTGGAGCTCCACACCTGACCCGAGCTGTTTAAGGAGAAAAAAATAAAATAAAATAAAGACACCGTCGTCGCGGTTGTTCTCCCTCCATCTCTGCCTCTCTTCCTCCTCGCTGGCTTCTGACTCCATGTTTATTTTCCAGCTCCATGGAGACTGGGTTTTGTCAAACAGAGCGGCCGACACGCCAAGGGCTAATGGGTGAAATATCAATAAGTCATCAGGATAATCTCCCAGTGTCATGTTGACAGAAAAGTGAAGTGTTTCATTTTTCTAACTGATCCACCTGTTTAAAGCTGGGATACCTGCTTATGCAACCTGACTGTAGAGGTTAAGAAAAGGCATGTCCTGGTGCAGACGGATGATTTTAAATCATTGGATAAGAGCAAAGTGGCCAGCCAGCCTTCAGCTGCAATCATAAAAGTAAAAATGATTTAGACAATGCTAAATCTTATATGCTTGCTAGTATTGGGATATGTTTTAGGAGTTTGGGAGCAGATGACTGAGTTAATGTTACAGCTCTATGGAATATGAACTTATAGTTAGCCTTTAAAACACAACCTTAAATCTGCATGTACTCATTATACTGTAAATACCTACAGATTATGCAAAAATGTTGTGTGGTGGAAACTTAGCAGTTGTTTTGGTGACTTCTGATGTCTTTTAGATGTATGTGAACATTGATGACATTGATGAAACCATAGTTTACTGCTATTTTTTTTTTTTTTGTAGTTTTACTTTGGCACAAAATAAACTCTTTATAACCAAAGAATGCAAGCTCTTTTAGGAATGGTATCAATTATTTAAGAGAACTTTAAACTCAATAATGCTTGTATTTTTTCTTTTTCTTTTTCTGAATTTCAACCAAACAAGCGTCTACTTGTCATCATTAAATTGCCCTCTTTTTGGAATTGATCATGCTGGAAACTAAAAAACAACAACAAAAAAACCTTTTAGGACATCCTTTAGCTCCGTTATCCAGAAACATGTAGATTTTCCCTAAAAGGTGAGCACAGGGTGACTGTTGTGCTGAGAGTCAGTGGCTGAACATGGAAGCAGTTCAGCTTCAAACAGTGCGGTAAAAAAGTCTACAGATTTGCTGTGTTTGGTTTTTGTTTAGCACATTTTATAATCATTGTGATAGTTACAAAAATAATCAAAGATAACCTGAGCAAATAGAAAAATCAGTTTTTAAATTAGGATTAAATTTATTATGGGAGAAGAAGCTATCTGAACCAAACTGACAAACCTGACATTATTTTATATGTGTGAAAAAGTAAAGGCAACTAAACCTCTGAGGCTGATTCAGCCACCCGTGGCATAATCATAGATGGAATCATAATTCTGGGATTTATCCAATGTAAATCATTTTGGTCATCCTAACTTATTTCTGTGTGGAGTGTGCAGGTTCTTCTGAACATGCCAGACTTTTCCACCATCACTCCTGTTCCTTAACATGCCTGTTAGCTGCACCGGAGATTCTGAATGCCCTTCAGTGGGAGTATTTTGTCACTTTTTGACCCTGCAGTGGACTGGTAACACTTCCAGAATGTGGGCTGCCTCTTGTCAACCACATGCTGTGAAAAAAAAACAAACAAAAAAAAACTTGCAGGTTTTCCATGAACATTTGCTTCCGTGCCTCAAATGGACGTCTGGCTCAGGGTGAAGCCCTTCACCCTGAGCGGCTGCTTCAGCTGCAGCAACACGGAAATGGCCACAAAGCCAGACCGTCCACCATTTAATTTTTCCAATGTGGAGCGACTCTGCGCCAGTTTCCACTACTGTGTTTGAGACTAAATGAGAGGCTTTCTGCAGAGAGGCACAAACACGACTGCTAAGTGGAGGCGCTTCATCAGCTGTTGCTGTTTACAAAGAATCATGGAGAAAATGGCACATCCACAGTCAGTCAATCAGTCAGTCAGTCAGTCGGTTGGTTGATCGGTCGGTCTGTCAGTCAATCAGCTGTACAACAGTTAAATGTGTGTCTTTACAAGATAACAAAAGAATATATATCATAGCAGGGCTGAAACGATTAATCTGATTAATTGGGATGAATTGGTTATTGAAATAATCATCAACTAATTTAGTAATCGATTAATCGTTAACAGGAGTACAGCAGTAATTGGGACAAAACTGTACAAAAATTATACACATCATGCATCTAAGATGAAAAACCTTCTTTGTAAAAATGTTTTATCTTCACCTGGTTCAAAATCTGTAATAAAATCCATTAAGCACCTTTTGCTGTCCAATTATTAATAACAACAATAATCAGCAGATCAGCCCTCCTCTGTATTGATTATTGATGCAGAAAGGCCTGAACTTTTCACATGCTGATGTTAGCAGTACTGTTTAGCTGCAGATGCATCTTTTCCTAACAAATGACCACTAAAGCAATGCTGTTATTGCATTTTAGGAAAAAAAAAATATTTATAAAAAAAATAGACTGAATTTACTTATTTGCATTTTTAATGTATTTCTAATATTGTATGAAAAAAAGCAATAAGTGGTTAAATGAAAAATCAGCAAAATGTGCAATCTTCCCCTCCGATTGATCAACTAATGGATAAAATAATTTATTACTAAAATGATCATTAGCAGCCCAATACTAGAGCATTTATTGTTTAGTGAAATGTGGAGAGGAAACACGTTTCACCTCCAGCTTAAAGCAGCATGACGTCTTCAGTGGGTTCGTT